TCATCTGCTCTGATGTTGCCTCTTCCTCCTTGGGATGGAGTAAGTCACGATCATTCCAAAGCAGTCACACGACCCATCCTCTTGCCAGGGGAACGTGAGGGACGTCTGCAGGACTCCAGCCCACCGAGCTACGCAGGGTCATGCCCAAGGCCTGAGCCCTCTCTGTTTGCCAGCTGGATACCCAAAGGCAGTGGGACCATCCTGATATCACAACTTCCTGTCTCAGAGCTGGGAGTGGCGGGAAAGGGAGCCCAGGGGGAAAGGGGGTACAGAGATGCCAAAGGCTTGGGGTTCTACCCGGGTCCCTGCTGGGCTCCACCCACCATCACTGGCACTGCCCAGGCTGCAGGCACTGTGCAGTCTTAAAGAGACTTTGCTGGCAACAGCTGCCGAAGGGTGCTTCTCTCCTGCCACTAGGGGTCAGGTCAGGCCAATGCAAAACCATCACAGTCCCTCAAAGGCTGGGAGAAATGAAGCCGCCAACTCTCAGCTTGCTGTGGCCCCGTTCTACCGCTGCAGGGTGCCTTCTCCTCCCTCATGTTCCATCCCCCTTCTCCACGATGAGGTCAGTGAAGGGTTGAGCTAGCACAGGGTTTTTCAAAATGTGGCCCACTCGTGCTTTATGTACATATCATGCAGATACCTCATCACTTTTTCTCTGGATTTTGTTACAGACCAATAAAAACTTTTCAATGGCTGGCAGTTGTTGAGAATGGCACTTGAGAACAATAGTCTAGAGATCAGTATTTTTCAAAGGTGAGTAACATACAGCTCCTTTCTAAAGAAAAATATTCTTGCAAGACTCTCAAGAATATGTCTAGAGACTCCCAACACCAGTTGTCCCATGGACTACACTGGCAATGCCGACTTAATACCCTACCCTCTTATTCCATAGAAATGTCTTTTAATTGTGTTGTCTCTGCAAAAGTTTAGCCTTTATATTTGGAAATATATCAAATATATTTTTGATAATCATCTAAGTGGAAATGCAAAATTTAAAAATGTTTGGAGAACTGGTAGATTCCCGGGAATATCTCCAAGCACCTCAGTTTGAGAAACAGGTCTAGATATACATGACCCAACTGTTTTCTCTCGCGCGGGGGAGGGAGAGAGCGTAAATTACAGCCAGTAGAATTAAAGCAAAATACGAAGAAGAACTACTCTAAGTGGTGTGAAGAACCAGGCAGCAAAACTGAGGGCAATGGTGGGTCTGCTTCTTAGGAGAGAGACAAAGGGTCAGCATGCTCTGCGTGAGTCTCCCAAGAGGCAAGGGGATGGTTGGTTGAGATCGCTTTTAAGCCGGGGAGTTTCAAATTATGTTCCCATCCACCTGTGAGATGACAACTCTGACAGGAAGGAGATAAAGCATGCAAGTTTTCTTCCTGGAATCATTTCATGCACCACCTCTTTCCAGAGGGGCTCAACGGAGGTCTGGGCGAGCTCCATGAAGAAGGCCAACATCACAACGCCATGACACCACCTAGGGTGCTCGTGAAGAAATGCCAAAAGCAGAGGCTGCTTCCTGGGCTGGGTCCCACCCATAAGGCCGGCCACAGGCATGATTCTCTCACCAACCCAGACAAGGCCACACGTCCAGTCCAAACATCAGAATCCATCTGGCCACCATGCTCCATGTGCTAAGCCTGTCCTGCCCTCAGCTCAGGTCTCCACAGCTTGGGAGACAAGAGGGCAGAGATGAAAGAGACAGCAAAAGAGCTCATGTCCCCAACAGGTGGAGAAAAAGGCTGATCATAATCATCAGAGCTCTGAAGGCCTCCTGTGTGTGACTGTGGCAGTACCCTCCCTCACCCCACAGGGCTATCCCAGAGACAGATGTGAACACAGAATATAGAAGCAGTTCTCTCTTCAACCTACAGTTGGAAGGACTTAGGGTTGAAAAGAAGAATTCCCTAGATGGTTGGATCCAAGACAAGTAATGGCGATGTCTTGAAGCGTTTCCTCTCTTGGTAACCCCTTTGTGAACATGCCAGACCCCAGCCCCTAGAGTCAAGCACAGATTAATTGCTACTCCTGCCAGAGACAGCGGACTGGACACAATGGCCTTGGGCCACTCTTTCGGGCCTGCACTTGTAGATGCTGGGCTATTTTTTCCATTAGACGCATAGGGCAAAGTGTCCACAGCCTATAAGCTCTTTCAGGCTATAAAAGTATTTGAAACCTGAAAAAACAATGGTTAGCTCCAAAATATAGAAAGAAATCTGCAAAAATGAAATCAACAAATGCTTCATTAAATGTCTACAAAATACAACATTATGTTAGCTAGTTAAATGCAACTCAGATCTTAGATTGATGCTGTTGTTGTTAGTTGCCACTGAGTCGATTCTGACTCACGGCGACCTCATGGGTGCAGAGTAGAAGTGTGCACCATAGGGTTTTCACGACTGTGTCTTTTTGGAAGCAGATCGCCAGGCCTTTCTTTTGAGGAGCCTCCAGATGGGTCTGAAACACCAGCCTTTAGGTTAGTAGTCAAGTGCTTGATCGTTTGTGCCACCCAGAGACCCCTCTTAGAGCTACGCATAAATTAAATTTGCTGTGGGATACCAAAACCCCACTGCCATTGAGTAAATTCTGACTCATAGAGAACCCACAGGGTTTCTAAGGCTGTAAATCTCTACAGACACAGACTGTCTCATCTTTTTCCTGAGGAGCCACTGATGGTTTTGAACCGCCAACCTTTTGGTTAGCAGTTGATAGCTTTAACCACTGCACCACCAGGGCTCCTTAGGGAGCATTTTAATATGCTTGCTGTGAGGTGGGATGGAGGCGCCAGAAGTAAGATAATCCAGAGCCTATGAAGGCCTTTAAAAGGCCCTGCTTACCTGCCTTCCCTGAACCCAAGCCCATTTTCCTATTACTGCCTCTCACATTCATCCCTCTCTCTGCTGGGCTAGCCACCCTGGCTCCCTCTTCTCTCCCCTGTTCCTCTTTTCCCTCCTTCCCCTTCCCCTTGGTCCCTTAATTGCTCCCATTTCACCCTGGCTGCCACTGTCCATCAGCGCTAAAGAAGATGCCTGAGCAGGACTCTCCCGCAAGCCTGGACATGCAGCGAAGCTCCTCTCCACCCTCAGGAGGAATCTCAGCAGCTGGCCCCAACAGGACCAGCTGAGCTGTACCCTGTTCTCTGCAGTCCAGCGGGGCAGCCAGCGACTAAACACCAGGCCTGCCCAGGCCCACATGGGTGGAACTTTCAATCTTTGAGTCAGAAACTGGAAGGCAGTATCACATAGCCATTAAGCACACCGGCTTTGGAATCCAGCAGGCCTGGATGCAACTGCCACGTCCGCTGGGTGACTTTGAACAAATTACTTTGTCTCTTTGAGTCTTAGCTTCCTTGTATGTAAAATTATACCCATAATTATGAAAATCGGGTATAAGTTACCATACCAAAATTACTATACCCATAATAATAGCCTTCCACACAGGGCACTTCCAGGGGAGTCGTGAGGATTTAGATGGGTTTAATGTATGTGAAGCTTTCATTTTACACAACGATAATAACAGCAAACACTTTTGAGTAGTTAAAGTATTCCAGGCAAAGTGCACTTTTACAGGCATTATTTCAATTAATTCTCACAACAACTGTCTGGCAAGGGGTCTTATCTATCAAACCTGTGTTTCTGATAGAAAAAACTACAGCTTACAGGCTTTAAAGAACTTGCCCTGCATCACACAGATCAACAGTGGCAGAGCTGGAATTCTAATACAGGCAGTTCGAACCCTAACCCTGCACATGTTGTTGTTGTTAGGGGCTGTTGAGTCAGCCCCCATGGTGACCCCATGCACCATGGAACAAAACACTGCCTGGTCCTGCGCCATCCTCGTGATCAGTTACGAATCAGACCTGTGTGATCCATAGGGTTTTCACCAGCTGGTTTTCGGAAGTAGACTGCCAGGCCTTTCTTCCTAGTCCATCTAAGCCTGGAAGCTCTGCTAAAACTTGTTCGGCATCAGAGCCACACATAAGCCTCTAGTGACACTGGGTGGTGGCTGTGCATAAGGAGCACTGTTTGGAAATCAAACCCCGGTCTCCCACGCGGAAGGTAAGAATTCTATCACCGAACCACCAATGTTCTCAGCTTTATAAATAATTCTCTAACGCTCTATAAATAATTCTCTACTGGGTAACCCAGCCAAAATCTGAGCTAAGAATCAGAAAACTTAGGTGTTGAACAAGTCTCTAGCTCTACTTACGTGTGAGGTTTTGAGCCTCCTGCGGTCTCTCAGCCTGTCACCCCTTGTGTTAGTGGAAATAACAATATCCATTCAGCCAACCCCACAGGACTGCAGCAGGCTCAAGTCAGATTCCAGATGTGAAAGTGTTGTGTGGATTAACAAGCTCTCGACAACCACGTGATAATGAGCCTTCTCTTCCCCATGCCAGCTAAGTGGCTGTCCAAGTTCCACTTGAATACTTCCAGGGACAGACAGCTCATTGCTTCCTTTAGCAGCTCATTCAGGTTAGAAAGTTCTTTCCTTTACAAAGTCCAAAGGGACCTGCCTGTAACTCCTTCCCACCGGCCCTAATCTGGCTCCCCAGTGTCCTGCCAGCTGGGAAGAAATTGCTGCAGCACCCCACAAAGGCTGATAAAGACCCCCAAGGCTTGTGCCCTTGCTCCTGCCATCCTGCCCTGGGCTCCCCGACCACAGATGGAGGCAGATGACTGCAATAACGTTCTTGGTTTGAACTGGTTCCGCTCCTGCAGCTAAGTCATTACCTGTCCCTGCTTATCAGACTCCTGAGCCAGGAGGAGACGTTCCAGACCAAGAAAGAAGGTAGAGGCCCTGGAGTCACTGTTGGCATGCAAGGCTGCCCCGATCGCTCACACTTTCTTTGCAAACACATTAGATGTCCCTCCTGGTACTGCCACTTCTGGCTGGCGCTTGGGCTCCAGGGTCAGGATCACCTGGACCTTTTCCTCTTCCCTTCTTGGCCCTGGCCTTCCCTGCCCCAGAAATCCCAGCCACTCTTGTGCCCATACCTTAAAAGACTCCAGGAAGCCCCCATGGCCCCCATTCTCAAACTTGTCCTCTTCTGGGCCCAGCCCTAGCATGGCCTGTGTGTGGCCATGGAGATCATCATGAAGGTTGTCCAAGAGGGCCGCCCTCGTCCGATCCTAGAAGGGAAGAGGGGAGGGAGCTGTGCAGCTGGCACCAAGGGCAGAGATGTGCCCCCTCTCTGAGTGGGCTCCAGACACCTGGCCTTCCCAGATGCATCCCAGTGAAGGTATGGACCAGGATGGGCTGCATGCTCACAAAGGCTGCAGTTAACACTAATGCTCCACGCCTGGCCTTCTGCTCTCTTCCCTCTTTTCCTTCTCCCTGGACCATCTCACCACTCCAGCAACTCTGTCCACCACTCTACCCTGGTGAGTCCCAGCCTAGATCTCTGCCCCAAGCTCCACATCCATGTACCCAAATGGTCCTCTCCATCCAAACGTTCGGGCCATTCACACAGCCTCCAGAGGGCGCCATTCACACAGACCCGGAGCAGTCCTTTCAGCAATCTAGCATTTGTAGGCACCTCCAGATCGACAGGTTCTAAAGAGAACTCCCCGTTGTCCTCATATCCTCATGTCAGTGAAGAGCCCAGCCCAGAGACCTGAGAATTGCCCTACAATTCTACTTCTCCACCCGTACACCCAGGGGTCCATCAAGGCTTGCCGATTCTGGCTCTAAAGCATTCCTGCCATGCCCTAAGCCTTCATCAGCTCTCTTGGACTCCTGAAATAGCTTCTAGCTGGTCTCTCTTCCCCCAGCTCCTTCCCTTCAGCCTATCATCCTCACCACTGTCACAGCAATCCTCCTAGCATGCAAATCAAACTTTAATCAAAACTTTATTAGGATGCCATCACTTCTGGCCTAACCCTCAAAGCCCCTTTTTTTTTTTAATTGCGCTTTAGATGAAAGTTTGCAGTGCAAATTAGCTTCTCACTCAAAAATCTATACAGAAATTGTTTTATGACATCAGTTGCAATCCCCACAACATGTCAGCCCTCTCCCCCTTCCCACCCCGTGTCCATTCGTCCAGTCTTCCTGTCCCTGCCTGCCTGCTCATCGTTGCTCTTGGGCAGGTGTTGCCCAATTGGTCTCGTATGCTTGATTGAACCAAGAAGCACGTTCTTCATATGTCTTATTGTTTGTTTTATAGGCCTATCTAATCTTTGGCTTGAAAGGTGCACTTGGGAGTGGCTTCAGTTCTGAGTTAGCAGGGTGTCTGGGTGTCACAGTCTCGGGGATCCCTCCAGTTTCTGTCAGGCCAGTAAGTCTGGTCTTATGTGTGTGTGTGTGTGTGTGTGTGTGTGAATCTGAATTTCGTTCTACATTTTTCTCCTGCTCTGTCCGGGACCCTCTACTGTGATCCTTGTCAGAGCAGTCAGTGGTGGTAGCTGGACACCATCTAGTTCTTCTGGTCTCACACTGGTGGAGGCTTTGGTTCATGTGGTCCATTAGTCCTCTGGACTAATATTTTCCTTGTGTCTTTGGTTTTCCTCATTCTCATTTGCTCTGGACGGGATGGGACCAGTATATGTATCTTAGATGGCTGCTCGCACTCTTTTAAGACCCCAGATGCTACTCAGCGAAGTAAGATGTAGAACACTTTCTTTATAAACTATGCTATGCCAAGTAACCTAGATGTCCCCTAAGACCATGGTCCCCAGCCCTCAGCCTCAGTAACTCAGTCCCTCAAGGTGTTTGGATGTGTCTAGGAAGCTTCTGTGACTTTGCCTTGGTCAAGTTGTGCTGACTTCCCCCATACTGTGTGTTGTCTTTCCCTTCACCAAAGTTAACACTTGTCTACTATCTAATTAGTGATTTCCCCTCCCTACCCTTTCCCTCCCTCGAAAACATCAAAGATTATTTGTTTCTGTGTGTAAATCTTTCCTTGAGTTTTTATAATAGTGGTCTCATACAATATTTGTCGTTTTGTGATTGACTTATTTCACTCAGCATAATGCCCTCCAGGTTCATCCACGGTTCATCATTGTTCTTTATTGTTGCATAGTACTACATTGTGCGTATGTACCATAGTTTGTTTATCCATTCATCTGTTGATGGGCACTTAGGTTGTTTCCATCTTTTTCTATTGTGAATAATGCTGCAGTGAACATGGGTGTGCATATGTCTATTCATGTGACGGCTCTTATTTCTCTAGGATATATTCCTAGGAACGGGATTACTGGATCATATAGTATTTCTATTTCTAGCTTTTTAAGGAGGTATCATATCGTTTTACATAGTGGTTATACTATTTTATATTCCCACCAGCAGTGCATATGAGTTTCAATTTCCCCACAACCTCTCCAACATTTTTAATTTTCTGTTTTTTTTAATTAGTCCCAGTAATTTGTCAGGGTGAGATGGTATCTCATTGTAGTTTTGATGTTCATTTCTCTAACGGCTAATGCCAAACCCACTGCCACTGAGTCAATTCCGACTCATAGTGACCCTATAGGACACAGTAGAACTGCCCTATAGAGTTTCCAAAAAGCAGTCGCTTCCAACTGCCGACCTCTTGGTTAGCAGCCAAGCTCTTAACCACTAGGCCACCAGGATCACTGTAAGTCTGGCTCGACAGCAACGAGTTTGGTTTGGAAACGGGTTTGGTGGCATAGTGGTTAAGAGCTACGGCTGCTAACCAAAGGGTCGGCTGTTCGAATCCACCAGGCACTCCTTGGAAATCTTATGAGGCAGCTCTACTCTGTCCTTTAGGGTCACTACAAGTCGGAATTGACTCAATGGTAACAGGTTTTGTTTTGTTTTGTTTTTTTTTAGAATGCCTAATGATTGCGAGCGTTTCCTCATGGGTCTATTAATTGAGTGTCTTCTTTGGTGAAATGTCTGTTTATATTCTTTGCCCGTTTTTGTTTGGATTATTTGTCTTTTTGTTGTTGAGGTGTTGAAGTGTTTTATAGATTTTAGAGATTAGATCCTTGTCAAATATGTCGTAGCCAAAAATTTTTTCCTAGTCTGTAGGTTGTCTTTTTACTCTTTTGGTGAAGTCTTTTGATGAGCGTAAGTGTTTAATTTTTAGGAGCTCCCAGTTATCTAGCTTATCTTCAGGCGTCAAAGTTTTCTTGACCTGACCTCAACCAACTTCTCCAGCTGAGAGTCCCACCATTCCATCTCCCACATGAGTCCTTTTCTCAGGCCACACCAAACCCTCTGAAGCTCCCTCCACACAGCAAGCTCTCTGATTCTGTATGGACTTTGCTCATGCTGTTTCCCATGCCTGGAATAACACCTCCCCACCTTCTTTCTTCTGGGCAAAAGGCTCATCAAATATCAAGATTCAGCATCTCAAGGGTCACCTCTTCCAAGAAGCCTTCCCTGAACACGTCCTCAGTCTCCCACAGGCAGAAGCATCCTCACTAAATCCTCTGAGCCACAGCCCCAGTACTGGCCTCCATCATGCCGCTGTACATATATTGTAACTGTCTCTTTATTAATGTCCCCACACCACCCTACATCAGCCTGTGACCTCTAAAAGGGTAGCGACTATGCCTTGCTTATCATTGTATCCTAGATTGCTACACAGTAGGTGCTCAATAAATGACTACTGAATGGCCAACTAGACTTAAAAGTTTGGATGGAATTTCCACAAGAAATAGTTCTTATATCAACATGGGGATGAGGACTTAGAGGGGCAAAGACAGTGCTCCCTCCCTTGAGCAGTCCCCAAGAACAGACCCCCAAGAGAGGCTGGCTACCAGGCAGCCAGAGGGCAGGGGGAAAGGCCTTCAGAAACCACGCTCTCACCTCCAGCTTCGCAAACTTGTCGGACTTGCAGCAAGCGTTCTCGGCGTTGGTGAGCTTGGTGAGCAGAAACTCTCTGAACTCCGGGCCCTGGAACAGACAAGATGCCCTAGGAATTCTCCCTCCTTCGGCTGTTGCCAAAAGGGCTCCAGCTCCAGTTACAGGTAGGTAGAACAGGGGGTCTGAGGAAAGGTCCTCTATCTGACATTTGATCAGAAATAGCCCGCCTGCTAACATGCCATCATGGAAACCAGCTCCCCTGGTTCTGGGAAATCAAGCCCCCACGCCTACAAGACATGTCTACGTCTGAGGGCAATTCTTGCCCAAGGCTTCTGGGACTGGAATATGGTATATATTTAAAAACAAAACAAAACCCACCTTTTTGTAGCAGAAAGGCACCCCCTCCCCAAGTATCAAACACCTCTACAAGTAACCCTCTGTTGGGCCAAACTGGCCACCTGAGGAGAGGTGGAGAGAGGCCCCAAGTAAGGAGATTGCTCCCAAACCTACAAAATGGCCTCCCTAATATTCCTAGCTCCAATTCTCCCCGGCTCCAACCACTGCCACTCAGGTATTGAAACCTCACTCACTCCGGTTGCCTCAGAGTAGATTCTGATTATGACAACCTCATGTGTGTCAGAGTAGAACTGTGCTCCACAGGTTTTCAGTGGCTCATTTTTCAGAAGCAGATCACCAGGCCTTTCTCCCGAGGTGACCCTGGGTGGACTGGAACCTCCAACCTTTCGGTTAGCAGCCGAGCAGGTTAACTATTTGCACCACCCAGGGAGTTTACTGAAATCTAGGGCCTTGAATATGAGAGGAGCAGAAAGAAGTGATTCTTACCTTCTGGAAAACAGGGGGGCTGGGCAGAGGGGGGCCGAAGGCGGGCACGTCTTCCCGTGCAGTGACCGAGACCTGAAACACCAGAATGGCAGTGTGGGCCCAGAGGGAAGAGGTCAGAGCAGAGCTGTGGGTGAGAACATGTTCTGTGCCCTGCCCATATGGGAGCCACATTCCCACAGCAAAGCTACTCACTGTCCCCCTCTTCTCCTTCCCAGAACGCACTGCTCAGGGTACACAAATAAAACGATCCCAGAAGCACTGCCAAAACGGGCGCGCTGAGGCACCGTTCCTAGAAGCGGGGATGGGTTGGGCTGCACCATCCGCATCCTTTCATCTGCATTCCTGGAAGCCAGAGGAAGTATTTGCAAGATAACTGGACAGGGCTGAGGAGCCGCCCAGGACCCTAATTACAACACAGTACACGTGTCCAGGAGCTGTTGTATCACCTCATTCCATTGTGACATTAATCCTACAGGAAAGATGCAATGAGAATTATTATCCCAGTTTTCCTGATGGAGGAGCCCTGGTGGCGCAGTGGTTAAGCGTCAGCTGCTAACCGAAGAGTCAGTGGCTCGAACCCACCAGCCGCTCCTTGGAAACCCTATGGGGCAACTCTACCTTGTCCTGCAGGGTCACTATGAGTTGGAATCGACTTGGAGGCAACGACTTTGGTTTTGTTTTTTTTCTATAGAGTTGCTATGAGTCGGAATCAATTCGAAGGCAATGGGTTTGGTTTTTGCTTTTACTGATACAGAAACAGATGCCCAGAGACATGGAGTGATCCCCCCAGGGTCACACAGCTGATTAGCCAAGGAGATGAACAGAGAATCCAGACTCTCCTGACCTGGCTCTGGGGTTCTTTTCCCACAACAGTGACCCCCAAACTTGGCCATACATCAGAATCACTTTGCGTATTTAAAAAATAAATACCAATTGCACGGGTTCCCCCTCAAATCTATGAATCAAAAGCTCTGGAGTGGAGACAGGAGTCTACAACTGTTCTAAGCTCCTGGGAGTGTGTGTGCAGTCAGGGGGCTCGTGTTTGGGAACCTGGGGCTGACACACAGGTTCAGCCAGTCTGGGTGAGGCTTGGACAAACAGAGTTCACGGGCTGGGGCAGGAGGGGGGCATTAAGGTGCTCTGCATGGGGGGGCCCCTAGGCTCAGGATGGCCCCGCACCTCTGTCTCCTCTTTGCACTGAGGTGCCCTGGTTTCACTTGCTCGGAGCCCATGAGGCCACAGGGCTCTCAGGAGACCCTGCCCTCTCCCTGCCCCTCAGCCGCTGACGTGAGCCCAGCCTGGCATGCCGCCAGCCTGGCTGGCCTGTGAAGTAGGGCAGAGGCAGGGAATCTGCCAGGCTAGTTGAGTGGGCAGCGTGGAGCCATGCCAAGGAAAGGCCCTGCCAGGGTCCGGAGGAGAGGCAGCAGGGGAGAGGTGGGCAATAAGGCTGTTTTTTCTCCAAGTTCAAGGCTGTCTGCACGGTCCAAATTGCAGTGCCCAGAGTCAGGAAATAGTGTGTTTGGCTGCTGTGATTTCTGGGTGGGTTCCAGCTGCTCAACACAGTTCCGCCACCACCCAACGTGCACCCATGGTACCAGTCAAGAATTCCACCCACGGGGCCAGATTTGGGGAGGGGGAGGTGAGGTGGCCCCAGAGGAAGGAGAGAGGCCAGGCCCAGCTCTCTGCCCTTCCCAAGCTGCCCTGACCCGGCCTCCGCCTCCTTCTCGTGTTGGCCCTGGTGTGGTCTGTGCTGCCTGGATAAGTGGCTTCAGACATGCTTTTAAATCCATGCCAAGTCTGCCAGCCAGACAACTGCGCCACAGCAGCCATGTCAGAGAGGCTGGGAGCAGGGTCATTCACAGTGTGAGCCATTGTCTTCCATTCTCACTCTGCTCCTCTCCTGACCCCGCTCCAAGGAGGCCAGGCCTTTGTGCTCCCTTCTCTTGGGGACGTTTGGGTTGCCTGGTTGAAAGCAGAAGTGGCCTGAACACAACGCCACCTTCCTGTTTTCTAAATTTGGTCGGGGCGGGAGAAGGGCTGAGAAGGAGAGAGGCAAAAGGAGGTGACCCTGGGGAAGAGAATCTTCCAGGATGGTAAGTGAAAGGAGGCCTGGGGTGCTGTGAGCCATCAGGACACATCAGAGAGGATCAAGAGAGCCTCAGAGGGCTCCAATCTGACAAAGTCCCACACCTGAGTGAAGCCTGCCAGCCTCAGAGACCATGGAAGGTGGACAGGTAAGGGCACGGGGCATAAAGACAGAGGCCCTCCCCACAAGGTCTGCTTCGCATAAGACTCCTGAGACCTTTCCATGACCTCACAAGTGGAGGGGGGTATCCCCCAGAGAGAGAGGGGGGAGGAGTCCTAGAGATGGCTGAGCTGGAATTTCCTTCCAATCCGTCCAACCTGGCGGGATGGGGACTAAATTCATTTCTGAAAAATAATATGATGTGACATTTCTTGCACACCTGAGTTTGTGGAGCCAAGTTCCCATCTGCTACTCTGGCTCATTGATGAAGACCACAGGCGGACCTTGACAGCAACTCCAGCTCCACCACTGCCTGGCTGCGTGGTTTTAAGTGACCTTAAGTCCTTAAGTGACTTAAGCTCCTCATCCTCAATTTCCCCCTACAAAATAGGCCTAATAAGAGGCCCTGCCTCTCGGAGCAGCTGTTAGGATGAAAGAAGACTGTGCTTCTAAGGATCTCAGAAAGGAGTACCCAGGAAGTGGTAACCATTGCTGCCCTGGGCTGTTTTTTTACTTTCCCTGTTGACTGCCCCTAATAAAGAGCACCTGAAACCACTACAGTTCCCCCAAACCACTTCCCACCCCACCCTCCAACCCCCCCCCCCCCACTCCTCTTTCTCAACTGCTCTTCTTCCTCCACTCTGCCCCTTCCCCCCATACACACACAGGATGTCAGGGCTGGGCCAGAGCCAAGAGGCCATCTAGTCCAACTTCCTCATTTCACACAGGTGGAAACAGAGGCTCAGAGAGGGAAGGAACTAGCCCAAGGTCACACAGCCAGTCAGGGCCAGGGCCAGGACCAGAAGCCCAGGCTCCCAAGCCTCTTGATCTGGGGCCCTTTCCTGCACATCTCTCCTCCTCAGCCCTTCCCTCTTCTTTTCTGCTGCTCCTTCTCCCCCAGTGGAGGCCTCCTGGGGCAGCCCCTGTAGAGCTCTACCCATCCTGTGCCACAGACCCTAAGCCTGCAGGGGTCAGCCAAGGTCCTATTTCACTTTGGACCCCCTGAGGGACCTAAACAGGTTCTCCTTCAGTCTGCTCATTACTGGGGGCGTGGATGGAAAGCACTTTGGGGGCACCCTGGAAGACACCTCCCTGGACTCTGCCTTTCTGACCCCCACTCACACTTCTCCCCTTCCAGCCTCGGCGTTTGCCTGGCAGGAGGAGCACAAGGCCCCCGGTCCTGGGACTTGGCCCTGCTCTTCCCAGAGGCCCTAATTCTCTGCTTCTCACCACCTGAGGATGACGCTTTTCCCTGGACCACAGACTGTTGCTCAGAAGACTTTGTAAAGGCTTCTGGGATCAAAGCTGGAGGTGGGGGGCTTTGTTTGGATCTCTGAGTTTCTCTGGATGGGCACACCACTCCGCTAAGCTCTTGGGAGAGTGAAGAAGACAGTTAGCTGAGGTTCATTTCCTGTATTAAACATCTGCAAGAGGCCTCACCCTGCCAGCAGAGACCCAGCAGATAAGCCACACAGGAGCGACGGCCTGGGAGGGTCCAGGAGCCCTCCTAACACACAGCTTTACTTAAGGGATCCTTCTCGGTAGCTCTTCTGCCTCCCAAAGAAACAAAAACCAAATCTGTTCCCGCTGAGTTGATTCCGACTCATGATGACCCCATGTATGCAGAGCAGAACTGCTCCACGGGGTTTTCGATGGCTGTGACCTTTCAGAAGCAGACTGCTAGGCTTTTCTTCCAAGGCATCCCTGGGTGGATTCAAACTGCCAACCTTCTGGTTAGGAGTCAAGCTCTTAACTGTTTGTGCCACCCAGGGACTCCTCTTCTCCCTCTACTGGCTGTTAAAAGAACTAGTCGGCTGTGTGAGCTGCCGGGTGGTGGAACTGTACTCACCGGGCTGCCTGTGCATCCTCAGGTCAGGAGGCCCTGGAGGCTAGTTCAGTTCATCCCTAGCATGAGCCTCGCCCCTAGCACAGTGCCTGGCACGCAGACAATGAATGATAAACTTCTTTCCACCAACAAATTAATCAATTTGTTTAAGCTGGAATGCCCATTTCAGTCAAAATAGGTGATCCTGTAGCCTTCAAACAAATGCCCAAACCAGAGGGTCTCCAACTTCCCAGCTAAAATTACTCAGTGACAGCGGAGTATGAACATGTACATGGGCGCATAAAGCGATCAACTTGCTTCCACAGGAGGGAAACTTTTTAAAATCTGATTTGCTTTTACAACTTGATGTGAATTTTCCACTCTGTTCCTTAACGTACAGGCAGTCCCTGTGTTACAAACAAGATCCGTTCCTGTGACATCACGTCGAATT